GTGGCGCTCTGGGTTTCGGGTCAATTTGGGTCAATACCCAATTCGTCTGGACCTCGTGCGATGCATGTGTCCGTATGGGCCGAATTTTCAGAGGGCACTGTTCGGCCGCCGAACTGTTCGAGGACCCGGAGTTTCCAGAAGCAGCACGGTTCGGCCGTCGTACGGTTGGCCGAAGAATACGGATTAGCGCGCAAATCGCTACCTGATGATATTGTTTATCTGATATGCTTGTTGCGTTGCATTTTTGGTGGTCCACCTCCGTTGTTGGGTGTGGCCCGCTGGGTTTCGGGTCGATTCGGGTCATTATTCAATTCAGGTGGTCCTTGTGCGATGCATGTGTCCGTGTGGGCACGGTTCGGCCGCCGAACTGATCGAAGACCCGAAGTTTCCAGAACGTTCGGCCATCGTACGCGCCGAAGTTTTCAAAGGCGTGGTTCGGCCGCTGAACCGATCGAAGGCCCGAAGTTTCCAGAAGCAGCAGGGTTCGATCGTCGTACGGTCGGCCGAAGAATACGGATTAGCACGCGAATCGCCACCTGATGATGTTGTTTACCTGGTGTACTTGTGCGTTGCGTGTTTGAGTGTGTGTGCGTTGCGGTGGTCCGCCTCCGTGGTTGGGTGTGGCCCTCTGGGTTTCGGGTCGATTCGGACCATTATTCAGTTCGGCTGGACTTCTCCGTGCGACGATGTGTGCTCGTTTTTTATGGCTTTTGGGTTTGGATTTGAGCTTGGGAGGACCGGAGTTTTTTTGTTCGGGTAGATGCCAGATCGTAGCACCAGGGTTTTTTTGCCCGGGTAAGGTTCTAGAGCATAAAAAAACATAAAAAAACCCTGTGTGCCCAGTCCCTCGTTACCCCCATGTTTCATTTATAGCTCCTTCCCAATCGATGACACTGCTCCATGCCCTTAGTTAGAACCCTTGGGGTATGAATTGCCACCCCGGATGTTACCTACCTCGTTCCCTCCTGCTCCACTTCCCCAAATCACCGGAAAATGGCCGAGCCGAGTTCGAGGAAACGCCCGTAATATTGCCGGCAGTTACTAAAATTCGTTTGCCACTTTTAAGTTTGGTTTCACTCACTTTTGAGTCTAGTTGGGGAAGACACAGGCGGATCCAGGACGGATTCTTGGAGGGGAGGGGGGAGCGACGAGGGGTGCGGCTTCTGGGAGAGGGGGACCAGAGATTATGCAAAAACTAGGAGAGCAGAATTGTTTAGAGTTACTTTAGGCTTTAGTTTACTTTAGTTTTAGCTTTAGAACCGGACTTTTGTAGCACTGGTGGCTGTGCCGTTGGGGGGCGGAGAGGGGTGGGGCAAAAGATCTGCCCATGGAGGGGTTTACCTATGGGAGGATTTAGGGCACCGATTCCACTTCCTACTCCCAAGCAATGTCCCAGCCCATCCCTCTGTTATGAACTCTCGGTACTTAAAGCACCTCCTCCCTAACGCCTGTCCGGCCAACCCCGCCCCCTTATCCCGCGGGTACCCTGTTTCCAATTTTTACCTCAGCAATTGGCGGATCTAAGACGGGCTCCGAAGGAGGGAGATGGAGGAGCGACAAAAGATGGGAGGAGCTCCTGAGGGGGGAAGGGATGGGGTGACGAGAGGCGGGGGGGGGAGGAGAGTTTACTTTAGTTTTAGCTCCAGATCTGAACTTTTACAGCACTGTTACCTGTGCTTCTGAGGGGGAAGCGAAAAACCCACCGCTCTCTCTTTGGCCCCGCCTCCCCCCTCCTTCAGTAGCTCCTCGTCCGCAGGTTGCCAGTCTGTTGCAAAAGGAAGAAGGTGCTGCTGTCAGCAAGCAGTGAAGTTAGCGGCTGATCCGCTTCGCCTTGCCTAGTTACCCTTTGTGTTTCCATGTGATATGCAAATACCCCGTTCTATGATTCAAGACTTTTTCTCTCCGTCCGTGATTTGTAAATAATGTCTTTAAAAAAAAGAGGAATAATTTGTGTTTTTGTTTCAGCTGCTATTTTTGTGTCGGCAACTTGAAATTGCTATCGATTTTGGTATATACTTAATTTGATCGGTTTGTTTTTTTTTGAATAAAATATTGTTTCTTTTGGTGAGCGATCAGAGATAAATTCGATTCACTTGCACATTTTTTACTTCACCTTTGCTGCCATTGTTCATCACGAACCGCTGATCAGGCTGACATTGTGACTCGTAATACCCCGAGATGTAGCTGGGCAAAAGCACGGTGCCTTCTCGACATACTTGAAGCTGCCAGGGTTTTTTGTCCCTTTGTAGCCCTAGCCGGTTGTGACTCCTACGGTACACTGAGGCGTGTATAAGCAGGTTGTAGCAACCAGGTTGACCGTGGAAGCCTAAAAATGGCGAAGGCGAGATAGATTACAGCATGAAAGAACAGTATGAGAAAAGAAAGAAGGCAAGAGTGAGATAAGTTGCGATTTTTGTGGGAAAGATGGAAATTCAGTTTTGGTTTCTAGAAGTTGTTCTTTGTTAGCTGAAATTGTTATTTTTAGGTTGCAGCAAGTATGACTCGGCCGCCAAGCAGAATAGGGAGAACTAGAAGCGGAGTGGCAACAAGAAGCAGAGTGATAAGAAAAAGCGCAAAATGCGCTAATTCACCTGCGAAACGTGGACGGCCTGCAGCCCGAAAGCTGCAGAAGAATCCGAAAAAGCAGCAACAGCTGAAGAAGAATCCAAAAAAGCAGCAGCAGCAGCGAAAGATCACGGATGCGCGCCAGCAAATGGAAGTGAAAAAAGAAAAACAGCAGAAACAGCAAAAGAATGCAAAAAAGCCACAGCAGCAACAGCAAAAGAACGCGGATAAGCAGCAACAGAAGAAACCGAAAAGAAAACAACAGCAGCAAAAGAATGCGAAAAAGCCAAAACAGCAGCGAAAGGCACCGAAAAAACAACAGCAGACTGAGGAGGAGGAGGAGCAGCAGCAGCAGAATGAGGAACAGCTGCAGCTGCAGCAGCAAAGTGAAGAACAGCAGCAGCAGAATGAGGAACAGCTGCAGCAGCAACAGCAGCAGAATGAAGAACAGCAGCAACAGGATGAGGTGCAGCAGCAGCAAAGTGAAGTGCAGCAGCAACAGGCTGAGGTGCAGCAGCAGCAGCAGCAAAATGAAGTGCAGCAGCAACAGGCTGAGGTGCAGCAGCAGCAGCAGCAGAATGAAGTGCAGCAGCAACAGGCTGAGGTGCAACAGCAGCAGCAGCAGCAGCAGCAGCAGTCGCCGGGCTCGCCTGCTCATGAGCAGTACGTTTTGAACACTTTTATTGTTGTACAGGCATGATACATCAGGACAACGTCTTGTAACTTGTCCTCCTTCCATTCCCTTCCTTCTTTCCTCTGGCCTCTCTCCAAATCTGCCCTACGGCTACAGTCCTAATTGCCTTAATCGCGCTCACACTGGGAAGGAGCACGCGTCATTTCAGCTTTGCTGAATTTCCTTCTTTTTACTGTTGACATTTTTTTTTGAGGGGAAGGAGTGGGGGAAGCGGAGGGGAAGGTTGTTTTTGTTTGTTTTTTTGGTTTATTTGAAACTGGCATCATCATCATCATCATCGTCCTGTGTTTTTACGTTTCATCATTACAGGCAGAACCCGGAAAATTTCCGCACACCATCACCGTCAAAACGACGTGCCAAGCCTAATCCACCATCAGGTCAGAAGGAATTTACATGGGCGCCATACTCCACCCCCCGCTATAACCGCCGCTACAGCGACCGCCCTCTTATCTTGGACAATGCAGGCTAAACATCAAGAGGTATGAACAGAAGTATAGACCAGTTATGTAAGTCAACATACTGACTGTGCTTTCAACCAGATATGCTTAGCAGTTTTTATCAGATTACATGTTTTTTTTTTTCCAGCAAAAGCAGTTCTGATCACATAGTAAACAGAACAGTTACTGAAACTCGGCTCGGCTCGGCCGGCACCATACACACGATCTGCAAACGATTTTTTCGGGTGTCCTTACCTCGCTGCAGCACAGAATGCTGGGTGCCGCATATGGGTTAACAGTGGAAGGGGGCGGGGCTTCGTATGCAGTTCTGTACCCAACACCCTAGCCCTCTTGTTCCTCTCCTCTATCTCGCCCTAATCTGTGCTCCTGGATATGCGTCTGCGTACTCTCTCACCATCACCTCTCTTTCAACCACTCTAGCGCCCACCCAGCACTCCCTAATCACGCGTTCCGGTTGCCGTGCACTGGGCAGCGTAGCGCTCCAGGTAAACTGTCAGTCGGTGTTGGTGTGCGAAATAGCGTTAGCAGGGAGGTTAGAGTAATGGCCGAGCCGAGTTTTAGTAATTGCCCATAAACAGACAGACTCTCTATTGGTTGAACGGCGTGCAGGATATCACTGCAACCACGCGAGAAAGTAAAATCCGATGGGCAGTACATGTTGCTTATCTTGCCGACAATCGGCAAGCAGCACGCATTAGTGTGTGGTACTGACGAGCGAGTAAACTACCATTCCGGTGACCTCCGGAAAAAGTGACGCATATGTATATATATATATATATCGAACCAGGCAGTGAGTACTAGCTGAGGGTATACAGTCCGACCGCAGAGGGCCTGGCATAGCTGCGATTGACGTATGGGAGCGTCTCAGTAACATCACTAACAGGAAATACGCGCACTGATAGCCCAATCGGTCTTGATATTTACCAGAAAAATTCGTTATCGGTTTTCCCAGACGTACTTTGTGTGGGATTGTCCTCGGTGTCCTGAAGATACAGCTTCTCGCAAGGTGCAACCACAAGAAAAACCTCCCATCTCCGACCGTTTTTTGACGAATTCCGCACTCTTGTGGATATCATTGATTAAATATGTGGGACGTTGTAGGCCGATGCACAACAGTTCGAGCAATATGTTGTTTTTCCACAGATTTTTGATTTCCCGTATAGTCAGCACTATAATTTGCTGTTCAAGTAATTCTATGATTTTCAGGGTGCTTGTCTAATTTTTTAAAACGGGAATATTGGCTTCACGACAAAAAAAGAAAAAGTGCAAAAAAAGAAAAAAAAGAAAAAGTGTCTTTTTCGATGAGAAAAAATGTTAAAAAAAAAAAAAATCAACAAAGCAGTGTTGTGTTTAGGGCGAGATTTTTAAACTGTAAAACTTGAAAAATATTTTCCTGTAAAACGCTATTTCTGAAGTAAAAAATTGTTTTTTGATCATTATTTTTCATGTTAAGTGGGCCAAAAATTTGACTTTTTTGAAAAACAAAAAACTTTTGGGAAAAAAAATTGACTTTATAAGTTACGGGTTTTTAAAAAAAAAAATCTTGACCCTTGTTCTTATTATGTATAAGTTTGTTGAGTTTGTTGTTGATTTTTATTGTTGATTTTTCTTTGTTGTTCACTTGGCACTGCTGTCTTATTGCTTTTGCCCTGGTTTTTCAGAGGAACAGTAAAATCTTCACCCGAATTTGCTTTCTGCAAAATACGGTGGGCGCCTCTGACGTAGTAGTTTGAGCAAAAGCAAATGCCAAAACACGGAATCACCCATTGTTGGCTCCTTCTTTCAAGGGTTGCTTGGGAATAATTTGATGGTGAAAAATAACATTTTAAAGGTGGCAATCTGCCCTGCTTGCATTTGTTTGTCCCCAAAGACAGCAGTGTTCTGCCCCGTTTGCATTTGGTTTGTTTTCAGAAAAATTGATGTACAACATGTTCATTTCCAGCATTAATTTGATGTACACATTTCTTCACAATTCACTTTTGTCACTCACTTTATTTGGGTAATCCATACGGGTGGCAAAATTAATCCGATGGGTCAATAACTTGTGAAGGAGTACATCTTGTGCCTGTACTGCGCATCCTCAGCGCATTTCATTCAGTGTGAAAAATCGGTTTCAGAGTGAAATCCTTCCATTTTTCTATTTCTTGCTATTTTCTTGTATCTATTATGGTTACTGTTTGCAAATATTTCGTATATTATTATTATTATTTAATATGCCCCCCTCCTCCATCTTCCCCCACAGCTGCCCCTCTACATAGCTTGGTACTTCCGGCACTTCCAGTTCGTTTACAAGAAAAATGAATGGCTTAGAAAAAAGTAACAGTCAGTTTCCACGTCTTCAGCCAATATTCCTTGCTCTGTACTGTACAGTTAATTTGGCTTGCAGTCTGTTCGTTTATGGTACACTGCATTTTTCGCAGTAAATTTTCCACTCGACTTCTTAAGGTTTTTACCGCATACAAAAAAAATTGCTTGTGGGAATGCTCCAGATCAAGTATAAATCAAGATATGCCGGCTTTTCGCAGGTTTTCCGTGATAGAGCAATTCGATGTCTAGTGATGTTACTGGGATATTTTTGCACACTACAAACCAGCTGTTTGAAGAAATTTGTCCTTTTTATGAGCAGGCGTATTCCCACAGTTAGTGCCGGCCACCTGTCCATGTACTTGCAATACACTGAACAGCGGTTAACTTTTTTTATATGCATAAAATTACTTGTGAAAGTAATCCAAGATTACCTAGAACATGTAAAGATCGCCGAGTCGAGGGTGTGTTTGTTTTTGAGCCAGGTGCTACGAGATATTTGCAAAAAATCGGCAAAAATATTAAAGTAGCTGGCGCAGGAACAGCGGTTACCCACGGATATTTGGTCTCTGTAAGGTGATTGATGATTCGATAATTTATCCCCAAACGACGAACACGTAGATGATTGAGATTCCGCTGGACCGGATTTTTCACCAGACGTTAAGAAGTTCACTTCTAATTGACCACGTAAATATCAAACTTCACAGTTCGTTAAAACCAGAATCAAAGAAATAAATAGTACGTTTCGGAACTGAAAGTGGGAAAAAGCTGTAGCAGTACCACTGAATCCTACGAAAGCAGGACTGTAGTACTACGTGAGGACAATGGAGGGCGTTTTCACGAGTGGATCAGAAGTGCTCGAAATTTGTGCCTAGTTTCGGCAAACCCAGCTTATTCCGTAGTGGTAATTAGTTTCTAAATAAAACAAACAAAAACAGTTCCAATTTTTGGCATTTCGATTTATAGAGTTTGAACTTAAGTCTTCGTTCCTCTTCTGCCGTTCGCTTCACCACGACTCGAAAACTGCCTTGGCAGCAGCAACGAAGCGATATCCCGTCCACTGTTATTGTGGTATTACATTTTGGATGAAGTGCTGCAAGTTCTAATTTCAGATTTTTGCTTCTGACTTCAAACAAGGTCCGCTTGTGAAGAAAATTTCATTAGATTAGTGGGACAAAGCTGTCCGTCTACGATTCGTTCATTCGTTTCGACAGTAAACTGGTGTATACGCATGTAAGGAAGTCAAACTCGCTATCAGCTTGTTTCTAAGCAATTCTGGCAGTACTCAAATGCAAACAATAAATCATTTATGAACAAAGAGAGAAGCAGTAACAAAACCGAACAATACATGAAACAAATCGAAATTTGCGACTACTGAATCCACCTTTGAGAGAAGAGCTTTTCGGCTGAAGGAGGATTCTGAGGTTGATTGAGGTCTCCTTTCCTTTATGCCTCTAAACGAAACTCTGGGTCAACATTTGAAGGAGTTCTCCTTCCCGAAAATTTTACCATGTACAATGCGATAGAAAGACAGAAAACACAAATAATACGCACAAATAAATGAACAGAAGTGGGAGACATAGTGAAAGCTTTTACCTAAAAGAATACTGAAATGGTAGGCACAGGAATTACAAGACACACATTTAATAGGCATATGGAGAAGCAGTCTGCACTTCATCCCTTAGCTAAAAACACGGGTTTTGGTGAAGGTTTTTGGGGGATGTGCTACTGCGTTTCAAGCCACCATAACGATGGGCAAATTTCTGGCCGACGGA